CATGGTTCAGTATTGACTATCTGGGCCTAAACATAGTTTGATGTCAGTAACATTTACTTACAGCTCAAGATCTGATACTGAGAGAATAGTTTGTTGACATTAGGACTGGAAAGAAGATACTTTCAAACATTTTCAGACATTTGATAATAGTAAAATAGCCCTAAGCCCTTCAACAAAATCAGGAATGATTGTAGAATATTTGGCATTGGCAGTCTTGGGTTAGTGGGTTAGTGTGCAGGTGATCCCGATTGTTTGACCTTGCCTTAAGGTCAACCCACTACCTAGCCTAAACATCAAACCAATACCTAGTCTAAATGTCAAACCAATACCTAGCCTAAACGATAAACCAATACCTAGCCTTAAGGTCAAACCAATACCTAGCCTAAACGATAAACCAATACCTAGCCTTAAGGTCAAACCAATACCTAGCCTAAACGTCAAACCAATACCTAGCCTAAACGTCAAACCACTACCTAGCCTAAACATCAAACCAATACCAAGCCTAAATGTCAAACCAATACCTAGCCTAAATGTCAAACCAATACCTAGCCTAAATGTCAAACAAAAACCTAGCCTAAACGTCAAACCAATACCAAGCCCTAAGGTCAAACCAAAACCTGGCCTTAAGATCAAACCAATACCTAGCCTTAAGGTCAAACCAATACCTAGCCTAAACGTCAAACCAATACCTAGCCTTAAGGTCAAACCAATACCTAGCCTTAAGGTCAAACCAATACCTAGCCTTGAGGTCAACCCAATACCTGGCCTTAACGTCAAACCAATACCTAGCCTTAACGTCAACCCAATAGAATACCAGAAACATTACGTGCTCACTACATTCCAGTAGCTCTGCAGAATGCTGCAAGAGGCGCCCCACTCCGTATAAAAGATTCCCAAGTGTGCACTGACTACACGTTCAGATAATTTGACATGAAAAATCTTAAGATGTTCTGTCAAAAGATCAGACATCGGACAGATGAAGGATTAACAATTCTTTAGGCTTTTAGTCAGTCTGAAAGTTCTTCATATTAATCTTACATTCAATGATTCTATTGTTAGGTTCAGACTTGAAATGATAATACCTGCTTTACAATGTCAAGTAATTTAATGTCCTCTTACAGTCTGGGAATTCCTTCAATAAATACCATAATTTATCTAAAAGTAACATGTGTTTGTTCAGAAACAGACTTCTGAAATTTACGACTTTTTTTTTTTATGTCAACCATGGTTTTCCAAGAAAAAAAAAAAATTAAATTATTTTTCTCTGAGTTTGCAACCAGACGTTATGTGTTATATTTGATTCCATTACCTTGCCTTAAGGTCAACCAGACGTTATGTGTTATACTTGTTTCCAATACCTAGCCTTAAGGTCAACCAGACGTTATGTGTTATACTTGTTTCCAATACCTAGCCT